CCCAGGACCCTGGGACCATGACCTGAGCTGAAGGCAGACGCTTCACCGACTGAGCCACCCAGGTGCCCTGGGTCTAAAGCAAATTTAAACAGACGATAAAGGAGTGGTCACTGTCATCTTTACTGGTGTGAACCCCAGAAGGAGGCTCTCAGGGCTCAGGAAGCAGTTTGAAAACTCCTGTTTTCACCCGTTTCTCCCTGTTCCTCTTGATAATTACTGTTACATTGACAATTACATGTAATAAGATAACTCATTCTTCCCACCGGATCGTGGGACCCATCCAGACATGTTCCGATAAAGCACACGTCTTGTCCCGGAGCCAGGCCTGCCCCTCTGGCTACCAGCAGCCTGGCGGCCAGCACGCCCCCTGCAGCTCACGGGATCGTCCCTGGAGCAGGGCAGGAGGCACACAGGCCTCTGAGGGCCTGGCACAAAGGGCTGAGAAGACGTTTTGGAGGGACTGCCGGGCAGGGTCAGTGACATCGGGAGGGGGGCTGGGCTCTGCTGACCAGGTCTTCTCCCTACAGGAGGGGCAGCCATGAGAGCTGGCGTCAGAGAGGGCGACCGGATCATCAAAGTGAGTGCCCCCCCTTCTGGCCGGCTCCCTCCAGCCTCCTGCCTCGCCCTGGGGTGGCTGGCCTCTGTGTTGGGGGCGGTGCCACGAGAGGACCCCAGGAATGTGGGGACCAGCCCCCGGGAGCCCCATCCTCGGCCCTTCTTGACTCTAAGTAACCAAGCTTCTGGAATGGGTTTTATTTTCCCATTTAACAAACAACAAAAATACACCTAAGATGGAGAGGCTGAGACCAGCAAGGGGCCCAGGGCCTTTGGACTCTGTCCCCACACAGTGCTGACCTGAGGGCCTTGCCATCTGCCACCTGCTGGGACCTGCCCGGCCTCTGGTGCCGCAGAGTCCTGGAGGCACTAAGGGAATCCTAGGCGAGGCAAGGCCTCAGCCCTCCAGGGAGGAGGAAGCATGCTGGGCGGGGGCGCGGGCCGGGGGCCGGAGGCTCACAGGCCAACCGGGAAGACAGACGTATAGCACATGTGAATGGAAGCAAAGTCCCAATGACCAGGGGGTCCTGCGGAGCATTGGAAAGTGGCTTTGTGAAGGAGTGGCGTTTGAGCTTCGGAAGGATCCCCTGCGTCCATCCTGCTCACTCCGTCGTTTGTCCCCCGACAGGTGAACGGCACCATGGTGACCAACAGCTCACACCTGGAGGTGGTGAAGCTTATCAAATGTGAGTCGGAGAGAGCGGAGCCCAGAAAGGGGGTGGGGGTGCAGGTGGGCTGGGGCAGCAGGCCCTTCGACCTGGGGCCTCCTTTGTGGGTGAGAGAGGCAGCTAGGATCACGTGTGTCATCTTGATCCACTGGGCCTGCCCTGTTCCTGCACGCCCGTGGAGACCATACCCTGCTGCACCAGCTCCCTCCAGGGCCACTCGCTCCCCTGTCCCCTCCACGGACAGCCTCCCTCAGTGGTTGCCTATTTGGGGGGAAAAGGCAGAAACATTCTGTTTGCAGCCAGGAAGACCCAACCATCAGGGCTGCCCAGGTAATCCAACAGAAGCAAGAGAGTTGAGGGAAGAGTTCACGGGTGGGCGGCCTGAGGAGGGCGGGACCTTCTGTGCACCAGGGGCTTGAGGGAAGTGAGTGAGGTGAAGGGCACGAGGGCCGGCCGCCCCTGGGGAGGGCAGCCACGTACCTGGGTGGAATTCTGCTTGGGCATCCTGCGTGAAGAACAGGAAGGAAGGGGTACCGGTGGAATTAGGGGGCGGCAGGGCATTGAAGTGTGGAGAGGTTTATCTGCAGAATTTTAAGCTTCGTGAAAGAAGGGAGAAGATGCCCCCCACCCCCTTTGTAGCTTGAGTGTCCACCACCAGGACCATGCGCCTTGAGCAAACCTCTCCTTGTCTGTCTGCCTCCAGCCGGCACCTACGTTGCACTGACCCTCCTGGGCTCTTCCCCCTCATCCGTTGGTGTCTCTGGGCTGCAGCAGGACCCTGCCCCCGCCGGAGCACCCCGAGTCGCCCCTGTGGTCCCCCCGCCGCCTCCACCACCACCTCTGCCCCCTCCACAGCGCATCACAGGGCCCAAACCGCTGCAGGTAACGGTCCTCGTGGTTACCCCGTGGGGAGGAAAGCGGGTTGTTTCAGGCGTGCTGGTAGGCAGAGACAAGTCGGAGAGCTGTGAAGAGCGTCAGCAGAACAAAACAAGGACTGGCCGCGTGGAAGGGGCCACTCCACCCTTAGTGTCCACCTTCCACGTGAATGCATCCGGCCTTCCCAGCCAGCAGCGGGCAACGTGCTTCCTCAATGGGGGGGACCCTACGGAGGCCCTTGGGGTGCCGCCCACCAGCAGGGAGGGCGGCACCCCTTCAGGCACGGACAGGGGCGTCCATTAAAGACCGTGGCCAGCCACTGTCACAAGACTGTGGGACACACGGACGAGTAGGGGGAAGGCTGCCTGAGGGACGAAAGGGGACAGAAGGGGAGTGGATCGGGAAAGCACAGGCAGCAGCAGGGGTGAACCCGGACGGGCAGCGGAAGGACAAGGTGCGGTTAGGAACGGGGCCGGGATCTGCACTCAGACAGAAGAACGAGCCAGCGGGCTGGGAACCAACTTGGAGCGGTTCGGTGCTAGGGGTGGTTGTCGCCAAGGCCTCTAGGAATTCGGGAGGGACACCCGGTGCCTGAAGTCTGCTGAGGGGCTGTGGGTCACTCAAACATACGGACGACCCCGACGGCTTTGCCGGCTTTTCCTGCCTGAGAACCAGCAGGTGGGAGAGAAGCTGCGAGGCTGCTCCCACCCTCACCACTGGTCTGTTCCGTTTCCAGGATCCCGAATTCCAAAAACATGCCACCCAGATCCTTCGCAATATGCTGAGGCAAGAGGAAAAGGAGTTACAGGTGAGGTCCTGCTGAGGGCCACTGGCCACGGCCTTGCTCTCGGGACACAGCCTGTCACCCCTAAACCCCAGCACCCGAAACTTGCGGCCCACTGAATGGTGGTTGTGACCATGGGATTCATTAAAGCAGAACTCAGGCAAGAAAGTGAACAGGGACCAGAGCTCCTGGGTAATAGGTTCAAATAGTGGACACACAGCCCCGTCCCAGCAGGAGATGGAGTGGGGAGAACACAGCAAGGGAACACCAGAGCCAAGGAAGGTCTCAGGGTCTCCAGTGGGGGGTGCAGGGGGCGGTGGGACCCCGTTGGTGGAGGGGGTGCGGTGGGGCAGCCAAGTCCTGGCCTGGCCCTTTCATTTCCGTTGAGCACATTTCCATCAGTGCCCACCTCATATAAAGCATTGTTTCAGGTCGTGTGGCACACAGACGTGGGAAGTTTAGACGGTTCTTGCCCTCAGCACAGCTCTGTTGTAGCGGAGAAAATTCACAGCGTAGTAGGAGAGTCAACGGGGGGACAAGGAAGAGAGCACTCCGTGAACGATGGGGACGCAGGGAGACTTCAGGGACAGAGCTGTGTTTCAGCTGAGCCTTGACGGGTGGGCCTTCTGCGAGCAGAACAGATGAGGCGGGTCCGCTGGTGAGTGGACAGCACAGGCCAAGGGCACGGACATGTGAAACTACGCTCCTGTGTTGGGCAGGATTGAGTTGCTGCTGCGTGCTGGGTGCTCGTGTGTGGGACAGGGGGAGCAGGGCGTCCGAGCAATGTGGGGGCAGAAGCTGGAGAGGTTACACAGAAAAGTGAGATGTGGAGCTTCCCTTCGTGGGGTTTGTGATCCAGTGGGGTATCTGTGGATGGATGGACATGCATGCATACCACGTTGTAGTAAGCGCAGACACTTAGAGAGCAACACGGAACGATCGGACAGACCTATCGCTCAGTCGAATAGAGTTTAGAGTCCAGAAGTTAAACCACACAAATACGGTCAGTTGAATTTTGACAATGGTGTCCAGACCACTTGGTAGAGAAAATCGTCTTCCACCCAATGGTGCTGGACCAACTGGCCATCCACATGCAAAGAATGAATGTGGATCCATACCTCACACAGTAAACAGAATATAATCCCAAATCGATCAAAGACAAATATAAGAACTAAAAGTGTTTTTTTTTAAACTGCAAAACTTGGGGCGGCTGGTTGGCTCAGTCATTAAGCGTCTGCCTTCGGCTCAGGTCATGGTCCCAGGGTCCTGGGATCGAGCCCCGCATCGGGCTCCCTGCTCCTCGGGAAGCCTGCTTCTCCCCTCCCACTCCCCCTGCTTGTGTTCCCTCTCTCGCTGTGTCTCTGTCAAATAAATAAAATCTTAAAAAAAAAAAAATTAAAAAATAAATAAAACTGCAAAACGCTCAGAAGAACACACAGGTGCAAATCTTCATGACCTTGGATTAGGTGGTGTTTTCCTAGATATGACACCAGAAGTAGAAACAACCAAAAAATAAATAAATTGGACTTCATCCAAATTAAAAACCTTTGTGCATCAAAGGACACAATCAGAAAGTAAAAAGCCCGCAGGATGGGAGAAAATACTTGTAACTCCTCTGTCCGATCCAGGGCTTGTGCTAGAGTACGTACAGGACCCTGTAAACATAACAGTAAAAAGAAATCCGAGCCAGTTGGTAAGTTGACAGAGGATTTGAACGGACAGTGAAGACGCACACAGGTGGCCGGTCAGCCAGTGGCGACTGGTCATCAGGGTGGTCCCAGTCACAGCCGCACCGTACACCCACCGGATGGTTGGAACCAAAACAACAGAGTCGCAGGTGTGGGTGAGGGGAGAAATTGGGGAAATCCTAGTTTATGTCCTGTGTGCTCGTTATCTAATGGATTCCCACCATTGCTGGTGAGGCCGCGGTCACACGGCCGCCGCGAACGCGCTTCGGGGGCTCATCAGAACAGCACAGAGACGCACAGAGACACGCTCCGTCAGCCCCACTCCCAGGTCTGACCCCGGAGAACTGAAACACATCAGACACAGACGTGTACGCGGACGTTCATGACCCCCCTCCCCGGGCGGGAGGCACTGCTTACAACACGAGAGGTGCTCAGGGAGGAGCCAGGAGCAAAAGGCCACAGGTTGTGTGAGTCCATTTAAAGGGAGGTCCAGCGTAGGCACGTCCACGAGGACACAGCGTAAATTAGTGGTTGCGGGGGTGGAGCGGGGAGAAGGTGGCAGCGACTGCATCCTGTCGGGTGGGGGCCGTCTCCGTAAACCCTGCGAATGTGTGCAGACCACTCAGTTGCACGCTTTAAAATGCTGAGGCTTATCTCATGTGAATTGTGTCAACAGGTTCTAAAATATTAAGCACACAGAAGCCCAAAAGAAGGAATAATCTGCAGGAATCAGGGAGGGCTTCCCGAGGTGGCACTTGAGTTTGGGTTCAGTCCGTGTCACTCTGGAAGGTGCGTTGGGCCTTGAACCCCACGCTGAGCTTGGTGTTTATTCTGAAGACCCTGGGATGGGTCAGAGGATTTTGAGCGGGCGTGTGATCACATCTCCGAACCCGTGTTCCCCAGAGACGCGTGTTCCGTGCGCAGACGTGCCCAGAGACCGTCCCGCGGCTGCTGTGTAGGAATCAGCACAGGGAGACACGGCCGGCCTGCAGGAGGGAGGTAGCAGGGCAGAAAGAACAAGAGATGCCCTGAGTCTGGGTGCTGGGACGGCGGCAAAGCCGGTGGTGGATGGAGGCAGGGGGCAGGGCAGGGTTTGCGGGGAAGACACGAAGGTCAGCTCTGGGTGCTCGCGGGACGTCCAGACAGAAAGACCGTCCACCAGCCGTGGAGATGAGGGGGTTGAGCCTCGAGGGAGAGGGTTCAGGTGTCCTCGGCGTGAAGGTGGTAGTTGGGACTGGGGACTAGGTGGGGTCCCCAAGGGTGCCAGTACAGAGAGGAGGAGAGCGAGTGGGGCTGGAATTTTGGAACTTGGTGCTTTCATGGCATACCACAGCCACCTGTCACATCACTGTTGTATTTGCTGTTACGTTCGGAATTTGTTTGTCCTTCTCCCCGTTCGACTAAGTAACGTACAGGCTAGGACCATGTCTCTGGGTATGTCCCCTGCGTGGCTGGTGCAGGCCCACGCAAGTTACGGGGCGCAGGGACTGGGCGAGGCTGCAGGCAGGCTGTGAGGGGGTGTGGGGGGCACCAGGATGGCCTTCCAAGGAGGGGGCGCTCGAGATGACAGCTGAGGCCCGGCCACGGGCCTGGCCCCGGGTCACCCGGCTCCTTGAAGGAGTCGGAGGGACAAGACTGTGTGCAGGCCTCAGGCTCTGGGCCCCGACGGTCAAGCCCTGTCTGGAGACATGTCCGTGGAAGGAAGGAGAAAGGGCCGAGGCAGCGGCTTGAAGGGTAATCAGAATTGATGTAAGGGCTTCATGCTGGCCACTGGGTTTTGTTTTAAGACCAGAAAGGAGCGTTCGTGCGGGATGAGGGGAAGGAACCATGGGATGGGGAGACTGAGGGTGCGAACAGTGTCTCCAGAGAGCCCCGGCGGCTGGAGGCAGAGCTGCTCTGTGGGGCCGGGGAGGGGAGGCCGCAGATGTCTGCAGTGCAACCAGGAAGCCCTACTAGAGGCCGCAGGCCACGGGCCTGGAGAGGCCGTCGGGTAGCAGGGAGGCCCGATGAGCTCCCAGAAAGTGTGCGCCCCCCAGCTTTATTTAACTGCGGGATGAGCCAGCTTTATCGGGCATTTCCTTCTGTGGTGCAGTAGTAGCTGCCTCCTGCAAAGGCTTCACGGGCAGTGTCGTCCGGGCCTCACTGCCCCCCGGCGGGCAGGGACCGACATCCCCGATACCTGGGAGGACGCAGGACAGTCTGCCAGGTCTGCACAGCCAGTGAGCCCGGGGGACGGAATTCAGAGGCAGGCCTCCCCGACTGCAAAGCCCAGGCTCTAAGCTCTGCATGCACACCGGTTGAGCACCAGGTGAGCCTCCGAGCGGCTCCCAGTAGCACCTGCGGCCAGACCGGGCTCCTAGGACTCTCGGTGCTGCGTGTGAGCTCCCTGTGTGGCCTACTCTGCAGACAGTGAACATCTGACACTTGAGCCAGAGCCAAGGGAGATTTCTTTAGGATGAGGCGTACGCCCAGCCTCGGACGGTGGTTCAGACTGGACGGGCCTTTGTGTCCTGTCTGCTAGCCCCGGTTGGCTCTCCGGGATGTTTCTCACCCTCTCTACACCTTTTTGTTCTCCTGAGTGACGGCCAGCTCCCGTGCATCTCCCGAAGGCAGAGCGCTCCCGTCTCGCCTCTTGGTTTTCGGGTAACTGCCTGTTCTCACCCCTGGGTGAGTCGTCCGTCCACTAACCACCCTCGTGCCCTTCCCCCCCTGTCGTCCTCACTGTCCCCAGCGTATCTGTGAGGTGTACAGCCGGAACCCCGCCAGCCCTCTGGAAGAGCAGATCGAAGGTGCCCGGAGGCGCGTCACTCAGCTACAGCTGAAGATCCAGCAGGAGACAGGGGGCTTCGTGGTGAGTGCCGCGGCCCAGCTCCAGGAAGGGTGCCGCACAGGTGGCCGCGGGGAGAACGAGGAGGAGAGCCTGGGCAGAGGCCTCCTGAGTCAGGCCGGGCCTCGACTAGTCAGCATTCAGCATCTTACAAAGAAACAAAGGGCAGCAATTCTTCGCTCGGCGCCACAGGGCTGCACACTGTGCGGGCGCTGGGGGCCCCTTTCTTGCGCTCCGAGAGCCTGCACTTGCGGCCTTGGTTTCGTTATCTGCTCCCTGCGGGGGGTGTGGCCGTTCCCACTCCGGTTGTACTCAGCCTCACGCGCCGCAAGCAGTGGGTCCCCTCGAAGGCCGCAGGCACCTCCCACGTTAGGCGTGGTAAGGGACCTGCACCGTGGAGCGGGGTCTGTAGGGAAACCCCAGGCAGGAGATGCCCTTACCTGATCCAGTCAGGGCCTCTGTTCCTGGCATCCTGCCCAGTCTCCATCGGGCCATAACCCTTTGGGCAAATGAGAAGGAACTCTCCGGAAACTAAGATCTCCAAGAATCATATTTGCCAAAGCCAGTAGAGGTTCTTCGAGGATCCTCTACTTTCTTTTTCAGACCATGCAGATCAGAATGCCTGGGAACCACAGGCTAATCAAATTTAAACTGCTCTACTTTCCGAAGGGCACGTCCATGTCACGTGGCCCACAGGCGCTCAGGTTCTGAGCTCACCAGCGCTAAGACTCTGGGGCAAGTTGCTTGAGCCCTGGGAGCCCCGTGTCCTCATCTGTGAGCTGGAGAGCCCACCAGGGCCTACCCGGGGGTTATGGTCGGAGCCGAAGCGTGCCGCCCTCCCGGGCCGTGCGTGTTTGCCCTGCCGCTGTGCTCGCGGGCTCCGCAGGGTGAGGCCGAAACACCGGCCGGGAGCGGCGGGGCTGAGCGCCAACCCTGGCATGGGTTGTCCTGCTGCGCGGCTTGGGCAGGTCACGCACAGTCTCTGGGCCCCGTTTGCTCACTGGTCACATGGGCCTCAGCATTGCCGAAAGCCTAAGTGAGACCCAGAAAAGCGTGCTTCGCGAGCGTGGGGCACAGTCACTGTGGTCAGTCCTTCAGAGGCCGCCCCTCCTCCTCTCCCCTCAGGCCCCGCTGGGGCAGCTCCTCAGTGGGTGCTGTGGGGCCCGGGGCGATAAATCAGTGAGTGTGGAGACTTTCTCTAAGGGCCAGGCTCCCTCTCCGGCGTTAGGGCTCACCGCCCTCCTCAGACTACCAACGAAGCAGTAGCCCCGCGGCCTGGGCACTTCTAAGGCAACGAACAGGAAAAGCCACTACTTGGAGCAGACACTGCTGACCGAGGGAAGGGCTGGCTGCAGGAAGGACTGAGTGCGGGAGAGGCTCGCAGAATGTGCCCACCCTCCTGACCTTTCTTTTTCAGGACGTACCCCCCCTACATGGTGACGCCAGCCAGAGAGCATCAGAAGGTGAGTCCCCCCCTCACCCCAGATCTCCAGCCCAGGTTTCCTCCCTGTTGTCCCTCCCCATGGGGCCGATTCAGGAAAGATTGGCTGTAGTCCCTGCTCTCCAAGCATTAGGATGGGGAGAGAAAGCAGCGTCCTCGCACAGGGATGGAGCCGTGAGGGCGTAAGCTTCCCACCCTTGGGAGAGCCAGGGCGCTACTGGGATGATGGGGGTCCAGACCCCAGCTCTCCTCCCAGCCCCTGGCGCTCTTGTGACCCGAAGTGAGTCGAGCCAGAAGAGGGGTGGGGTGGGTTGAGGGTACGACTCACGGTGACAGAGCCGTGGAGTCTCGTTCCAGGAGGTGATAGGTCCGGGCACAGGCCCTCAGGGAGGCGAAAGCCGGGTGTGGAGCATCTGACCTGAGGGAAACCAGGGAAGGAGGGAAGGTGGCGGCTTCGCCTTCCTGCCCCGCACGCAGACCCCCAGGCCACGGCACCACCTCCTGTGTAAACTGTTTGCTCCCCAGGCCAACTGTCTCTGGATTCCCAGGAGGGGGACAGCGGCTGGGACTCTGGGACAGAGCGCTTCCCCTCCCTCAGTGAGGTGAGTGCCCACAGGGGCCAGCCCCGTCTCAAACCCCGGTCGGCGTTCCCTGTCCAGGCGCCCAGAGGTCCTGCTGTGGCCGGTTGTGCCGCGGCCTCCGACCTGCCGCGGGTGCGCTTCGGCCACACTTCCAGCTCCCGGGGTTTTAGTCACTCTGCGCTGCGTGCAGGACCGTCAGACCCAGCGTCTGCTTTACCACCGCTCCGTTCCGTAGAGAGCCGGGCGGAGACAGCCGTGCGAACGGCTCGAGCCTCTGGGCACAGGGGAGCAGAGCCTCAGTCTCGGCCGCACACACGGGACTTCGGCTGCGGCCACGCCGTCTTAGATGCACACACAGAGCCGGCCGAGTCGGGGCGGCAGCCTCTCTCGCTCCCTCACAGATCTCACTCGAACAGCTCGTCTTTCCTGGAGGGTCAGAAGCATTTCAGCTTTCGGCCTCACGTTCCCTTCCAGCTGTTGTCTGCCTGCACATAGAAGCTGCAAATATAAAATTGCAAAGTAGAAGGACGACAGGACGGAAGAAGTCATAACGTCGTCAGTCAGATATCTGCTCAGCCAGGCTAATTAACACGCTTGAACTCTAACTTTAAATAATAGTTGGAATTGCATTTCCTTACTGCTGCCGCCTGTCCGTGGGGGACGGTGAGCGTATGTGCAAGGATCCGTCTGTGGGAAAGACCCCAAGAAGGGGCGGAGGGTCTTTGGTGACCCAGAGTCGACGTATCCTGAGGGCTGGTTGTCTGGGAGGTGGCCTGGCTTAGAGGGGACGGCTGCGGGCTGGGCTCAGGTGCCCGGGCTGCGTCCAGGGAATACCCCAGCGCTGGGTTCCCGGCCTTGAGCAAGTCTCGAGACCCGTCCGAGTGGTCGTTTTCCTCGTGTGAAGGGCGGGAAGGGAGTGGATCTGCCTCAGAGCACCATCCTGAGCACCGAGCAGGGTGCCACGCAGCCAAGGGCTCTGCGTAGCCCCGGGCGTGCGTGTGTGCGCCCCCGGGCATGGGCATTACCAGGCCAGCTGAGGGGCACTTTCTGGATGGGCTCTCTTCCTCCAGGCGCTGATGAATCGGAACTCGGCACTGTCGGACCCTGGGCCGGACAGTCCCCGAACCTCGCCTGTGATCATGGCCCGGCTGTCCCAGCACCACCGGCGGCAGGGCTCGGACGCAGCAGTGCCCAGCGCCAGCGACCAGGTGAGGGGCCCAGAGCCCCCTGCAGTTCTCCCTCCCCTCCTCCAGAACCAGCTTCCCCAGGCCCGGCCAGGAATACTCAGGCTAAACCCCCTTTAAGGGAGACTTTGTCTAGAGAACGGAAGTGAGGGAAGAACGTGGTACGAACAGGCACTTGAATGGGCTCCGTGTGAGGACACCTGAACACCTCCACAGGGAAGGGACGAGAAGGGATGTGGAGGAGCAGAGAGCGTCTGTGTGGAATGGCAGATAGGTTTGTTTGGTGTCTCCAGAATACTCACGTTCAGTTTTCTCTTTCTTTAGCAAAATCCTTTGTCTTACGCAAAATCTTTACGTTTGGCACGCTAATATAGGAACCAAATAAAAGCTCAGCTACCCTGGGACCGGCCCCAGGCGTGTCCGCCCTCCAGGGCGCTTCCCTGTGGCCCCGCGGTCCTGAAAGCCTGGTGTGGACACCCCTGCCTACAGGGGGTAGACTAGGTGCAGGGGGGCGTCAGGAGGAGCGTTTTGGGCTCAGTGCAGGGACTCCAGCTGTTGAGGGGATTTGCCTGACGTTGTGGAGCCAGAAGCTGGGTCACTGCGTGTGAGCAACACGGCGAGAGCTCCTGGTTTTGAAAAACAGCGTTTTTTAGCGTTCACCGGCCGCCGGCCCTCCCCGGGGTGCTGCGGGGTCGTGGCCCGTGCACATCCTGCTCTGGAGCGAGGGCTCCTCGGGCGGCTGATGGGAGCAGGTGTGGAGTAGCTTGGTCGTGGGGGTCCTTTCTCCCGTCCTCTGAGAATTGTTGAGGGTGTTACCTTTGAACGGAAGGAGCGGCCTCAGCAGGGCCCCAGTTTCTGAGTCATAATGTGTGCTGATGGGGGTGGGGCCGGGGGGACCGTCTGGGCTCAGCAGCAGCAGGTGGAACCTTTGGAAACTCTTACTTTCTGTTGCATCACTGTACAACGTCTATTTTTGTTTAATAATGAGCATCTTCTGCTTTCTGTAATGAGAAAAACTGCGTATTTGTAAAGACTCCCGCTCACAACAAGCAAAAACCTGGTGTTTTCAGGTTTCACCCGAGAGCCAAGTAGAGCCACAAGTGGCCATCTAGTGTCCCCTGGGGGCCCCACGGTGTCACGGGACGGGGGAGGCCCGGGATGTGGCCTGCCTCTGCGTTCAGCCTCTGCGGGCCTCACTTTTTCATTTGCCACTGAGTGCCAGACTCTGACATGCCTTCTGGGTCTCGGGTTCTGTGTGTGTCACGCTGAGCGGAGGGTCCACCAATATCCAGGAGAACAGGAGGAGTGAGGGACACCCGGGAGGCGCCGTCAGGTGAAGCCGCTTGAGCGAGCGGGGGTGGGAGGCATCTGAGGCCTGGAAGAGAGTGGGCGTGGGGGATCCAGGTGGGCTCCAGAGCAGGGCCCTTCTTGGCGCATCCCTGGAAATGAGGTAGATTGCACTGAGTGGAAAACGTAGTTGGGAGAAAAGGTCTGAAAGCCCAAGGAACCTCCAGGAGAAAGCTTGTCCAGGGAAGCATCTGGAAGGCCTGTGCGGCACAAGCACTGTCGTCATTCCTAATATCGGCACACCAGGTAGGCTTAGGTCTTTAGTGAAATTGGCACGAGGAAGAAAACCACACCGAGAAGCCTGGATTTGAGACCGGTCATGGAGATCCACCGGAGACCCTTGAGCAGGCCGCGCTGGGGAGCGGTCAGCTCCATCCCCTCCGTCGTCTGCCTCCGGGAGGCAGAGAGAGGCCCCGAGCTGTCTTGTGACAGAGACCGGTACCTGCAGGCGCTGGTGCACGCCGTGGTGGGCGCGGGCGTGGCTGCCGAGGGGACAGAGAGCCCCAGCCCGCCGTCCCGCGGGAGCCGCCGCCCCCCAGAGCTTTCACAAACAGGAAGAGCACGCCTTCTCTCGCTTCCCATGCCCGAGCACACGTGCCCCGGCGGCCCCGCCCGGGAGCACTTGACTTCCACAAGTGGAAATCGTGGTTCTTGCCTCTGAGATTTGGGGGAGGTGGGGAGATGCCAACGCTCGCCAGACCCGTGTGGTCCTCCCTGCCGCGCCGTCCCCACACGCGTGTCGTGGAGGGCTTGGACGCCTGTCCCCTAACTTCTCCTCCCTGCGACCGGCCTCTCTCCCCAGGGCGCAGACCAAAGCCCGAAGCCTTTAATTATTGGCCCAGAGGAAGATTATGACCCGGGTTATTTCAACAACGAGGTAACGGTTTCCTGGCTTTCTCCTTTCGTCACGGTCACACCAGCCGCTGTTGACTGGAAGCAGTCGGAGCTGCCACGGCCGTGAGGGGACGCGGGGTGGGCGCCGCAGCTTGTCAGCCCGGGCCGGCGGGGGCCATGGGGGCCAAGCTGCAGCAGGCCACACTACTGTGCCCTGCGTCCACGCACAGCAGCTGCCCCCGCCCTTCTGCCCTGCAGAGCGACATCATCTTCCAGGACCTCGAGAAGCTGAAGGCACGGCCAGCTCACTTGGGTGTTTTCCTGCGCTACATCTTCTCTCAGGCCGACCCCAGCCCGCTGGTAAGTCAGGGGCGTCGTCTTGACTGAGGCCCGCTTGTGCCCTCGCTTCTGCTCTTGAGAGAAGTCGGATCCGCGGGCAGCGGCAGGTGGCTCAGGGACGGAGACAGAGCCGAGAAGGTGCAAGATTAGCAGGAGGGACTGCATGTAGTGTGGGGAGGAGCGAGGCCGGGACACCTGCCACGGTTCTCGGTCCACTCGGAGGACACGGTCTCTCTAGGGCAACACTGGGGATTGCAGACCCGCGACGTTACCGTGGGGAGGCTCAGCGGAGGGGCAAGGTGACAAAGGTGATGGGGTGGTGTGTGCAGGGACGGGGCTCAGGGCCACCAGCCTCAGCAGCTTTTCTCATGCTGCTCTGGGCTCAGAGGAAAAGATGGACAAGAGAGGAGGATGTTGTGTCCCTCACAAGACCCAGACCGCTGTTTTCCTGCGGGGCTGACCGCCATTGGGAGCCAGGGTCAACATCATGCGCCCAGCAGGTGCCCACTGAGGTGCCCACTGAGCACTTGACACGAACCTTAGAAAACAAGATACAAACAAGTACGAGGCAAAGGCTCAGGTGTGGGGGGATGCAGAGTCCAGGGTGCTTGTGCTGGAAGCTGCCGGGCTGAGGCTGGCGCTGATTTACCGGAGGGTTCGGAAACTTGAAGCCAGGGCTTCTCAGCCTCCGCGTGGCCATGTTGAGCTGTAGGATTGCTTGCTGGGGGCTGTCGTGTGCATCTTCTGTTCTCAGCCGGGTCACAAGACTGCGCCCGCCAGGTGCCCCAGCACCTCTCCCGAGAAGGGTCACAGATGGCTCCAGGCACCGCCCGTTGTCCCCTGGGGTCAGAATCCCGCTCCACGGAGTGGAGACGTGGGGAACCGCTGCTCTAACCCATTTTCTCTCTTCTCCTAGCTTTTTTACCTGTGCACAGAAGTTTATCAGCAGACAAACCCCAAGGATTCCCGTGGCTTAGGAAAAGACATCTGGAATATTTTCCTAGAGAAAAATGCGGTAAGGCAGTCACGGATTGAATTACAGTATTATTGGATTCTTGGGGCCACTCGGGAGCAGAGGGAGAACGAAGCCACACATTTAGGCCGGATGGAGACAGGTTTTTGAGGAGAAGTCGGGGCTGAGGGCTCCTGGGTCCTGTTCGCGGCCCTGCTGTCAACCCTGAGCCCCTGACCTGGCCCCTTCGTTCCACGTGTGCCAGGTAGAAGGCACATTGCCTGCCCCCTGGGCCAGTGCTGGCTCCCCCCAGCCCTCCCTGCCCGCCCATCGGGGGACGAAGCAACAGAGGCACAGAGACCCCCGATGGTGGTGGAGATCAGTGAGCCAGATGAGGAGCCAGGGTTCTGACACTCAGCGCCCTTGGGGATCCTGCCCAAAGCAGGGTTCGCAGGGAGGAGGCCCGGAGTGTGCGGGCAGAGGAGCGCTGTGCATGTGGACAGGGCCGCAGAGGTGCTCACCCACACAGGGCATTGTGGGCCTGCAGTCTGACCAGCTACGCTAATGCCCAAGTGACTTTCAGTTCCACAGCGTAAGCTCGCGGGATTAACGAGTCCTGTGCTCCCCAGGACTTCCGTGCCTGTCCCGTTGTGTGGGTCTGGAGGAGGGGTGGCCCTGTAGGGGTGGTGGACTCAGCCTGTCCCCGCTGCCAGGTCCTCGTGCTCCGTGCTTACTGGGACACTCGGCCACAGGGGGAGCAGAGGAGAGGGCCCAGTGACGTTTCTGCGTTGCTGTGGAGTCGGCAGCAGTAGGGAACCCGTAAACCCACACGGGCTACCCCGGAAGATGGCCTGCTGGCCCTGTGGCTTCAGATTCCATTTCTCAAATGCCGTAACCTCGTGTGAAGGCTTACAAGGAGAGAGCAGGGAGGACGGGCAGCAGGTGTCGCAGAAGAAGACAAGGGGGTGTTGGGAGGCCTTCCTTGCCGCGGGGCAACATCTCCCACGCGCCCTGGGCTGTGGGTCTCACCGCCCGCCCCCACTCCTCTCTTCTAGCCGCTGAGAGTGAAGCTCCCAGAGGTGTTACAGGCTGAAATTGGTAAGTTGGCTCATGGGCCACTTAGTCTCATCCTGGGCCCTGGGGGCACCAGAGCAGAGGGCGCGTAGCCCGTCTTTGGGCACCCCTTCCTCTAGGAGGGGGAGGTGGCTGGCGGACAAGCAACCATGGGACAGGCCCTGCCTGGGGAGCTCGTGCCAGGAAGGGAAGACGTGACCCCGTGAGACATGCGCTCGTTTCCGCCAGTCGTCCCCGGGGCCTTCCTGGGCCCTGCAGGGCCGTCTGTACCAAGGGGTGGTTGGACTTGAGGGATTCCTAAGCCTGGCCGATCATTAGAATCCCTGAGGGAACTCTGAAAAATTCAGAAACCAGGGCCTACTCAGTCCCACCTCAGGGTCGGGATCTGCGGAGCATTTTTGTTTTTGTAAGTTCCTCACTGATCCCAGAGCAGCTGGTCCAGTGAGGAGCCGGCCGGCTGGGTGGTCGCTCCGTTCCCTCTCGCTCTCAGGTCGTGAGTAGAAAAGCTGAGGGAAGGCGGCATAAGAGGGCGTCAGCCTGAGGAGCGGGTCCCAGGCAGCTTGGGAGGATAGGTGTCCCACGGCCAGGGGGTGAACGGAGCTGGACGGACACTGGTCCTCGCCCACGTGACGCTGCTGCAGGGACAGGACGGACCCCGCCAGGGTCACATGAGGTGCTTACCGGGCAGCCACCGAGAAGGAGAGGTTACCACTGTGCCGGCAGAGGGCAGCCCTCGGCACATCTGACAGCAGGCAGGGCTTTAAGGTCCTTCCACGTCATGGAGTCTGGAACGCCCGGGTGTCCTGTCCTCGCCTTGGGACCCGGACAGCAGGGCTCCAGTCCTGGATTCAGGAGTGACCGGCTGGGTCCAGGCCTCCGCCTCCCTTGGCTCACAGGAGGGCCGAAAGCCGGCCTCCCTCCGGGCCACAGGGGGCTCCGCAGGCGCGGCCCCCGCCTCCCGACACCCCGTTTGTGTCTTCCCTGGGTTCCCACCAGACTTGCGTCTGCGCAGCTGTGAGGATGTCCGCACCGCGCTCCGTGATGCTCAGGAGGCGGCCATGCCCGAGATCCAGGAGCAGATCCAGGACTACAGGTGCTGACCCGCCGCCCCTCTGCCTGCCCGCCTGCTGGCCCCGTGTCTCCCATGCGTGCGCACGCGCCTCGCTCCTTCTGGGCCTCTGCCAGGCACCTCTGTACGTTCGTCTCTTTCTCTGGCTTAGAACAAAGCGCACCCTGGGGCTTGGCAGTCTGTATGGAGAGAATGACCTGCTGGACCTGGACGGGGACCCTGTCCGAGAACGCCAAGTGGCCGAGAAGCAGCTGGCCGCCCTGGCAGACATTCTGTGAGTGCAGAACAGATGCGAGTGTTCGTGGGTCTGTTCCCCGACGTCTCCCCTCCATGCCTGCCGGCCCTCCTTCCGCTGAAGGATGGGGAGAGCACGCACTCCACGCAAGGTGCAGGGCCCGGGGCTGCCCACGAGGACTCGGGCGTTAGGAGCTTCTGCTCCCTTCCGAGCCCTCTTCCCGCCCGCCCTGCCTCCTGCCTGGATGTCCCGTGGACACCAGCGGGAGGGCCACGCCACAGGTCTGCTATGAGTGCTGCCTTCAGGAGGCAGATGAGCTGGAGACGGAGGGTGGGCCGTATTTAACTGATGGCATCAGAAGACACCTAACTCTCCGAGGAAGGAAGTCGCGGCCCGTCCTCCCGGCGTCACCCACGTGACTTTGGGCACGTAGGCTTCGGTCGTGTGTGACCTTGGTCTCAGCTATAAAATGACAAAAGCAGACAAGACGTCTTCGGAGTCTTCATGCTGCCATTCCGTGCAGCGAGATTTATGGAGTCTGTTCTAGGCTCCTGGGATGTGTTCGTGAGCAAAACAGCAGTTCCCATGGTGCTGACGTTGTAGCAGGAAGAGAAAGCAGCGTTTGATAAATAAGCAAGATCTGTAACATGTTCGAAATGAGGGGGAGACAGCAGGCCGAAGGAAGGGGTCTGGAGCACAGAGCTGGTGCATGGCAGATTTAAATAGCGGTGTCAGGGCGAGCCGCATCCAGAGAGTAACGCTAGAGCACCTGAAGGAAGTGGGGCCGTTGCCCTTGCTGACATCTGGGGGAAGAGCATCCCAGGCAGAGGGCAGCAGGGCAGGGTAGGCGCCTGCTTGGCATTTGGGGGCAGCGGAGGGCAGCTTGGCCAGAGCATGTCGAGAAGGTCTGTGCTGACCTCAGAGGTGACGGGAGGGCGGCCACAGAGCCTGAGAACGCTTGTATGGACGGACAGACGGACAGAAGGGGAGCCGGGAGTGGGGCTGGGCTGTGGGTGGAGGGTGGTGGGGAGCAAGGGAGGGTCCCAGGCGAGGGGTTGCACGGGAACCCACGTGGTAGGGGTTGGGACGAAGGATGCAGTGAAAAGTGGTCAGTCCCAGGGGTATTTTGATGGTCGAGCAAACAGGCATTTCCTAAAAACTGAGTGTGGATTGTGGGAGAGAGAAAAGTCAGGGAAGACTCTGCAGTTCATGCCTGAGCCGCTGGAAAGACCAGGTGCCATCAGCCGAGACCGGGTGGCTGTGTGCAGGGCAATTCGCGGTAGCCAGTCGGGGCTCCGTGTCAGACCGCACCCTGGAGATCCCGGGACGCGGCCTCAGGGACGGTCTTGCAGCGGATCAGGGCACACGGGGGCATATTCTTGGAAACAGCCCCCTGGCCTTCAGCCAAGCCTTGGACCTTTCTGGGCCTCAGTTTCCCTAGCGGTCTGATGGCAAGAATCAGCCTGACCGCTCCAAGGGTGAGCACAACACCAGCCTGTGCTTGTTCTGAGGTCCTCACGCCCAAGAGTCCCATGGCATTATCACCGGCAGCATGGGCACCCGCTTGTGATGGGGTGAAGCAGGGAAGCTTCGGTCTCACAAGATCTGGTATCTGCTCGTGCGGTTTGAGAACTCAACGAGTTAGTACGTGTCGAGTGGTGCCTGGCTGGTAGCGCACCCTCTAGCGTCCGTTGCTCTTACCATTTGCCTGGTAAATAGGCTCCCCTGGATCCGGTCTCAGGGTGCGACCTTCTGTCGTCCTTCAGCGGGGCGCGGCGCAAGCCCCTTCCTCCATAATACCTCCCGAGGCCATGTTTGCCGCATCCCCTTCCTTTTAGCTGGAAGGACATCACCGTCGCTGTGCGGAGGCCCCCAGGGGAGCGAGGGCTTTCACCTCCTGGGCCCCACGCTGGCTCAGAGCTGCGACCAAGAGTCGAGGCCCGGCCTCCCTCCCCCACGGCCCCCATCCTCCATGTGTGTGTGGCGGACACACCTGTGCCCCACAGTGCGAGTCATCTGTCCTTTCTTTTGTTCCAGGTCCAAGTACGAGGAGGACAGGAGGTGAGTGAGTGTGCGGTGTGCCGGCCATCCTCCAGTCACAGGGGGGCCCGTAGCATCGGGGGTCACGGTCTGAGTGTAGCCCTGGTCACAGCGGGGTCATGGGGTCCAGGCCGCTGCTGCTCGGGGACCACCGCCTGGGTGGTGGGGACAGCTCGAGCGCTCTGATGGCCCACGCCCGCCCCTCTCTTGCAGCACCCCCATGGACTTCGTCCTCAATACCTACATGAGCCACGCCGGGCTCCGTCTCCGAGAGGCTCGGCCTTCCGGCACGGCTGAAAAGGCCCAAGCAGCTACCGACAAGGACAAGTGGCTGCCCTTCTTCCCGAAGACCAAGAAGGTGACAGAGCTATCTAGACAGCATCATCTGGTGCGGTTCTCTGCAGCGGGGCAGGCTGGGAAAGCCCCCCCATCACGGCCTTCACAGGGGCGTCCGTGAGAACCCACAGACTAGCTCAGACCCGGGCCGGAAGCACCCATGGTGGCTCAGGAACAGGCGGGAGTCAGCTTTCTAGTTAGTTGTTTGGGGCGAGTCTTGGGGCCAGCGGCCGCGTCTACAGATTGGGACCTTCTCCAAACCCCGTGTCTCTTGTCTCAGCAGAGCAGCAATTCCAAAAAAGACAAGGACGCCTTGGAGGACAAGAGGCGAAACCCTATCCTCAAGTACATCGGGAAGCCCAAAAGCTCTTCGCAGAGCAGTGAGTCGGGGGGGCGGGGGGCAGCGGCCGGGGCGGGGGCGCAGCCACGTGCCCACACGCCACTTCCTATCAGTGCTGCTTAGTCTGCCCTGTCAGGCGCGTGCGGCTCTTCCAGGTACAGGGACCAGGAGGCCTTGCCGGTGCCTGGGCCTGAGTCCAGGAACTCAGAAGCCTGTTGTAGGAACAACCACACGGAGGAACATTCCCCGCCACGGCAGGCCCTGGCGGCAGTAGATGCCCCCTTCACCTTCTCCAGTGGGCTTCGTCCGTGCCCCAGGGTGTGTGGGGAGCACGTGTGGGCCCTCGGCGGGACGTCCGAGTGACCGTGCAGCAGAGCTAGGCGGATGGGGGCAGGTTTGGGGCCCAGAGGCCCCCCTGCTGCTGCCGCTTACCCGGAACTCGGGTGGGCTGGTCACGGGTCTTCCCAGCCCTGTCCTTGGTCTGGAACTTGCCACTGGTCCCCAGTCAGTATCCTCAACCCCCAGCATGGGTCTTGGGAATCTGGGAAGGGCCCTGGGGTGGGCCGGCGGCCCTTTCTGAAATTGCTGCCAGGGGTGGGGGTTCGGGGGGGGGGACTCTTCTCTATCAGATCTGAGTTTTGCCACTATCTTTTCATTTTCCAGCTTGATGTAAGTTTTGTTTTGAGTCTTGAGACATTAATTTGACTTTTCATGGTTTACTTTTGTTTTTGTTTGTTTTCTTTTAGCATTTCATATTCCCTTGTCCCCTGTGGAAGGTAAAAGGACCATTTTCTGTGGGTTTTTCTTTGCTTTAGCTTTGAGTTTCCATCTCTCAAGTCTGTGTCTCCTTCTCTGCCTGTCCACCCCCTCCTCCGTCCATCCATCGCCTCCTCCGTCTGTCCGTCCTTGCTGCCCCAGCGGCCCTGTGACACGGTCCTCCCCGGGCGCTGCTCTTTCTCTCCCTCCCTTCCTCTGGAAGGTCCGGGGCTCTGTGTGCACGCAGGAGGCCGCATCCCGCACGAGCTCCTCAGAATTTTGTTTCCATTGAAATAATAACCAAATCCTCATTTTTGAGGGTTATGCGGGCTTTCTTTAGTAGACAGCGGTCTGTAACGGTTCTTTGGGGCCTTTTATTGTCTGTCACCTGCTCTGCTTAAGCCTTCGGGCGTGGCCCCTCCCTGCCCCTGACTCATGGTGACGGTCAGAGAGAATGCCCCCACCGTGTGTGTGTGGCTCTGAGCACAGAAAAACCACATCCTCCGCGTCACCGCAAGAGGCTGAGAGCCTCCAGGCGGGTGAGCACAGATGCTGTGGGTGCGGCCCCCACGAATACAGCCACGTGCCTGGTACCAGCTAGTTCTGCAGTGGGTCTGTGGAGGAAGAGCTGTGGGATGCAGTCAGGAACTTGTCCGGTCGCTAGAAATCATTTTATGTAAAGTGATGGCAGAAAATAATGATTTTCAAAATTATTTCAAAGTTTTAACTTCCTAAACCCATTATGCTGCTTTAAATTAGAAAAACTTTCAAATTCTGAGAAAAGGCTTATAAAACAGTGGAAAAATAAAAGAATGGCCTTGACTCCCAGGCCCTCAGTTCTTCCACGCGCCCCCGCCTGTCCGCCCTGCCCAAGAGCGAGCGGCCCCGAGAGCGAGCGGCCGGCCAAGCTGCCGGAGCCCAGGGAGGGGGGGTGGCCTGGGCGTCCACCAGCTCGGCGAGCTAGAGCTTCCCGCGGTAGTTCAGGGATTGGGTTTGGTGTTCTCGAGTTCCCGGGATATCAGAAGAGTCTGGATCCACATCTGAAGGCCACACCCCTCCTAGAGGTAGATGCCCCAGCACTGAGCACTGGACCGTTTGGGGTGATCAGCTGTCACCCCTGATTAGCAGCAACCGTGTCTGATTGTTAATAACATGGAGTTTACTTCTCTCGTTTCCCTGTCATCCGGAGAACGGAGGAGGGAGGACAGAGGACAACCAGTGAAAAATGGGCTCATTTTAGCAAATTGTGCTCCTTCCTGCCTGTTTTTCCCATTACCCTGACTCAAGTATGCCGGCTGCCAGACCACGCCCATCCCTCACACGGGGTGCAGCTACATGCCGAGGACACGTGGCCCACGGGAGGGGAGCGGGGGCTCAGCCAATGGCCGCCTGTCCCAGGGTGTTCCTGGGCCCCACACGGTCACCCAGCAGTGCTGCATGGCTGACCCTGGGTCAGGCGGATGTGGCCCTGTCCCCAGAGTGGGGGTGAGGGTAGCAGCCCCTCGGCCGGACACATCCTTACAGCCACCTCTTACGCAGTTCTGGGAAACTGTTACCCCAGCTGCCTGCCCAAAGGATATTTAGTTCTGCTTCCTCTGGCCTGGACGCTTTCTTACAAAACCCGAGTTTGGCTATTTGGGGAGATTTGTACATTATCTTAGGCGGGACCCCAGTTAGTGTGGGTAGGATCAGGGCCTCGCCCGCCTCCCGGCCCCCTTCGCTCTGCTGTTGGTCTCAGGCCCATCGGCCCTGGGAGCCCAGCTCCTGTCCTGAGGTCCCTGGAGCTGAGCTCACTGTCTTTGAGGAGGAGAGCCCCCCTGCAGGGCATCACATGAGCCTTTTGACTTTCTTACCTGTCCTCTGTTTCTTTAAACAAGAAACACGTGAGAGAGAGAGAGTGGCCACCCATGCTGCTCTGCACATTAGTGGGAGAGGACCAGGAGCTAGTCCAGAGGACGAGTCCCAGGAGCTATCCAGAGGACGAGTCCCAGGAGCTAGCCCAGTCCAGAGGACGAGTCCCAGGAGCTAGCCCAGTCCAGAGGACGAGTCCCAGGAGCTAGCCCAGTC